GTCAACTTGTCATGCATATTCAGTAACAGACTCTCCCCTTTAACAGATGCCTTATAACTGGCTGTCTTGACTACTCTAAAATGAAATATACTTCGTTCATATATAAACTGTGTTATATGCTCCTACAACAGCATCTGCTTGTAAATTTTACTACATTTTTTCCATTTTGTCACATATATCAATTAAAATATGTACAACATTTACACTATTTACATACTAGCATCAAAAAATTCCTCCGCATCAACGCCTACTGGTGGCGTTCATACGAGTAGAATACAGGCAGCATTGCCACGTTGAATGGCAATGCTAATTCTCTGTGCTAGAAAAAGGCTGGCCTTCTGATCACGAGAAGTGTCGATCAGTTGCTTAGCTAGTTGATTATACATATATAGCATGAGCACTGAGACCCCATGACCCTAGCGTCTCGACCCCAAACGGTTCAATAATGTAATTTCCTACTAAATTTACGCCGGTATTTACGCCGTTTGAGGGTTTTTGCGGATGCAGCAGCAGCGCCGGCATAACCAGCTGTGCTTGGAAGATGTGATTGCGTAAGGGTGTCGACACAAGTTGTGTCCCACACCATACGCTTACCCATCTTCCATCCAAGCAACGACATACCGTCCGGTCTCTTCCGATCGTCTTGTACCAGACCATTGGGTTCACGTACCGCTGGAACGCCGGCGGTAACAAGTGTAAATGTTGTAAATATTTTAATTGCATTATATTGCAATCGTTATGATAATAACGATAAAAGTACACAAAATGTGTTATATCGTTTTTTTTTTATAAGTATCAATTCATAAATAAATCTATAGTATAGCATGACTTGACCGTTAGATGGATAAATCATTTTAATACTCTTCGATTTCTTTTTATCCTCTCTTTTGTTTAAAGTATAATTGATCCGCTATAGTTGCCAAAAATTGTTACCACAATAATAATGTTGTGGTACGAACGAGATCTTAATTCATTTATTTTTAAGATCTCGTTCAACAAATCTTCTTTTAAATAGGTTCAATATCAACCTTTGTCGTTAATATGTATGTTTTCATTCACGTAATTATTTTGTGAATTTCAGCTCCTTACGAGCAAATCTATGACCGCAACCTGACGGAGACCCGGGGCGAAATCGTCACAAGGATACGTGATCTATTCATCAAGAACCAATCGCTTCTACTGGTAAGTATTTTTCGTAATTTCATTCGAAACCAGCAGTAATATTTTTTTTTTTTTGAAAAGGAAATACATTGTTATGGTTTAATTGACCCTACACGGTACACCTCTTTATCGGTTCACAACACATCAACAGCCTTTAATAATCCACTGCTGGACATAGACCTCTCTATAGAAAAAAGGTTTTGGCCTACAATACCACGCTAGTCAGACGGGTTAGCATAGGGTTTGTGTCACAGCCTCATGCCGCCCTGAGTGTGGCCGCGGGTGGACGGGGTGGGTTTCCCCTCCACCCGCATTAGTTTGGCCAGCCGCGAGGGGGCGGCGTCCGCGTGTGCCGGACGTCGCCTAAAGAGAGGAAAAAACATTGAGACGGAGCCCGCACCAGGAGCGGGCTGGCGCTAGGAGGGGTCCGGATGTCTTAACAACAGCTGTTCCCGGATCCCTCCTGTTACAGGCGCAGAGTGGCACACCGTGTGGTTTTAGTCGGTGACGGTGACGGTCCGAGGGGATTTCCACACGTTAAAAAAAAAAAAAAAAAAAAAGGGTTTGTGTCAAGTTTTCCTTCCATTTGCACTGCTGTTGTTTGTCGTAGTTTGCTCCCTTAGCCGGCTCTTACGACACCCACAGGTTGAATAGGGGTGGTTACGCTTTGTATTCTTAATCCGTTCCCACACGGATAATTTTATCGATTTTTGGGTTTTATTAAGTGATTCTTCCTACATAACCCTCGAAGTTCGTATGATTCGATTAGACGATTCCGACAGATTGCACTTGGTAACTATAATCTGATGATATAGCCAGGAGGCAGATTTTTTCCGATAGTTTAAATTTGGCATTAATAATAAAAAATAAAAAGACAGACTTGTCTTTTATTTTTTTTTATAAACTATTAACTTACTAAACGATTTTGTAAAAAAAAAACACGATAGTCTTTGACGTTGTTTGCAGTAATCGATTTGTTTTGTCCCCAGGATGATAATATCGATATCTTGTCATACGTGGAGAAGGACTTAGAACAGTATGAGTCCAACTTCACAGAATGCATGAGGCACGTCAACAACAACAACATCAGAAAGCAAACTTGGACTTTCTGGAACGCCATGTTTTATTCTGGCACTATTTTTACTACCATTGGTGAGTTATTTAGCATGTATATATATGTATATATTGCATATATGTGGCCCCCAGCAAACGAATAGACAGCTCATAATATATACACATCATCATTATACCAACAGCTTTAAATAGTCCACTGCTGGACATTTTAGCCTACTACGAGTATACTACTACGGCCAGACGGGTTCGTATAGACATTGTTTCAAGTTTTCCTTCTCTTTGCAGTGCTGTCATCGTACAGAGTTTGCTACCTTAGTCGGCTCTTATATTTAAGACACTTATATTCATTGTATCGTATAGTTCACACAGTACGATAAAATATTAAATTTAGGCACGTAAAGTATGTAAAGGAGTTTGGCACTCTCTATTTACCTTAATCACGAAGTTTTTGAAGGATGATTAACAATTTGTTTAGTCAACATGTCGATTTTAATATTAATGCTTAATCTATATGAATAAAAGAAAACAATGTCAGCACAGAATCTAAGAAACGAATTATATTCCCATTTGCGATAAAACAGCAGGGAATCTGTTTCTTGTAACAATTTTCTTTAATCTGGTTTAGATTTTTCAACAAAGTATTCTACTGCAACGCTAACAGTTTAAATAGACTATCTGCACTCAATTAATTACAGCTGAGTGCTGAGATTTCTCAGCTTCAGCCCAACGTCTTGCTCAGATCCTTGAAAGTTTTAATGACTAGTACGTAACGAGAAAACTGTAGTACACTGGACTAGTAGGGTAATCTGAGATATGTTAATAAAGTGCCTGCAAAAATATGTATAGCAATACACTGTTGTATTTCGGCAAAAATAAAACAGGCGCTTTTTATAGAGAAATGCATTCTTGACAATGTATAATTCAATAAAACGAATAGCACTTTTTATCTGAAGTCAAACTTTTGTCCTCTTTAACAATTGTGTGTGGGTAATTGCAATTTTATAATGATTGATTGTGTAGTTTTAGACTTCAGCCTCAACAAACGTAAAAATTCAAATGCGCATTTATAATATGAGTAGAAATAAAGTGTAAATATTAGAAGAAGAACACGCAGCTTTATGTTAACAGTTTTTGTTGTTGGCACGCTCAAAGCTTTAAGAGGAATAATTTATTTATTTATCTTTACAAAGGTAAACCGAAGCATGCATAACTTGCATGCTTCTTATACAAAGCACACGATACATGCACATACATGTACACGAAATTCAATAGAGTATTTTAATTTTAATTTGATCATTTTACGTTTAAATTATTCTTTATTTCACTTTGTCATATTTTATCTACAAAATATTTAAACTACAATTTATTGGGCAGGCCTCTTGGTCTAGTGGCTAGTGACCATGACTGCTGTGCCGGAGGTCGAGGGTTCGATACCCACCCAGGACAAATATTGTGTGAGCACGGTCAATTATTCTGTGTCTGGGTGTAATTTATCTATAATATGTATGTATTTAAAAAAAAAACCCCTTTTTCTTATGTTTTAATATACATAGTAAATAAATAAATAATAAATTACATGAAATTAAAACCCTGAATAAAATGGTGCATGACAATCTGAGGTTGTCTATTTGTTCGTTTGTCTGTTACGTCATTACACCTTAACACGAGATAAGAAAGGACTGCATTCTTAAAAAAGGATTGCTCTCTAGAGAAGGAAAGATTATAAAGATAATATTATTATGAAGACTTTATGTACCGCTAATTTACACGAAGAAACATTTACCTACGTGTGCTAATAAAAATGTTCGCATATCCTATTAGAAAAAAATATAATAAGATAAACGTTTTATAGAGAATTACGTATAACAATAGACAATAAACATATCAACAGCTATTTATAGACAGAACTCGGGTGTTGACACAGATATTCCTATTTCACGTGATGCCGATATAAGATGACCTTCTAAACGAAACATTTTCTAATTGTTTGTTAGTATACTTCTGATGACAAGTGTCAAATAAAAATGGTTGCAAATGCTGAGAATATTTTCAAGTATACGATTGCAAACATGAACCGGCCGGAATTTAGTTGTAGTTGTTTTAAATTTGGAACACTGCCCGGCGGGCTTGGCGCTTTCCCGTTCAGTTCTAACGCGTCACAAACGCTCACCGTATAACAAAACCAGTGACAGAAATCTTGTGTCCTTTCATTCTAAGTTCCATGTTAAACTAGTGAAAAGTAACGTTGTAAGAAAATATCAGAGACTAAAATGCTCTAACTGTGATAGATCAAAACGAAAATGTATTTAATAGGCCTATTCATTTACCAGTGTTTTGCTGTAAAACTGCGTGATAGCCAAAATAGATTCTTTTATTAGATTTGCTATGATAATGGAAAATGTTATTGGATTGGTTAACGAACGGTAAGTTTACATTTTATGAATACTCGTCGTTGTTGGCTTGCTCAATCTTATTTGTGCTATAATTATTGGCAGGAGATTTATTATATACTGCCAAGCTTGGTAACGATCTTCACTCTTTTAATTGAGTTCAATTGCCTTAGTTTATTGGTAGCCGTTGTGATATCACGTCTTTTTTTTGCAGTTGCAATTTCTGTGTGACCATTGGTGGCGATGAGTGAGAACGAGAATAAAGAAGAGTATACAGTAACTTTGAACTTAAGGATTCCGGTGGTAAAAGCTGAATCGCAAACACAAACGGTCGGTCAAGTTGTATCAAAAGTACCAAATATAAGCGAAGACGATATGGATACAACTGCAGAAGAAAGACAAACGATGTCTATAAGGAAAAGACGTAATCTATCAAAAAATAGAGGCCCAACTGCCAGACAAAGAGAAAAAACACCAGAGCCTGGTAGGACTCCTGTGCCACACGAAGATACTCCTACCTCTGATGACGAGGATTTCAAACCTGAACGTAATTCAAGGGAAATCGAAGCAGATAGTACTTATGAAGAAATGAGACGTTTAGTCCTTGAAAAAGCTAATGATAAGGATCCTGTGTATGACCTTGACTCTGAACAACTCAAGGAAGAAAGGGCAGTAGCCGCACAAGAACGCCGACGTAGAAGTATTTCTCCTTTTGCGATACAAGGCAAAGAAGATGGCGCTTTTTCTTTAGAACGTAAAGGAAGTTTTATAGATCCAACAAATAAGTTGTTATCAACAAACTATGCCTTAAGTCCAAAAGATGAAGATAGATCGCGACGTAGTTCGTTAACTATTGAAAACTCAAAAGAGGCCAAAAGTGCCCTTACTACCTCAACGCCATCTACAAGTTCGCCAAAAGACAGAAATTTTCCATATCCGTTGGACGACAGTAATGTGTTCGGTGTGCTAGGTTCACCAAAAACATTAGAAGAAATTATATATCCAGATGATAAAAGGATAATCAAATCAAAAACTTCGGTTAGAAATGAAAATATGTTTTTGTTCGACGACAAAGATATGAAACAAGGTACAAAAGCATCCACACCAAAACCTGAATCTCCAGGTACACCAGGCGAATTAGTGACAAAAGTAATACAAATAGATAGGGCGCCTAGTAAAAAAATGTTAGCAGATAAGAAACCTAATGTGGAAGTCAGAGAAAGGATTGTCAGAACACCTAGTAGAAAGTTATCAGCTGACGCTAAGCCTAATATTATCAAACAAGAAATAGCTAAACAAATCAAAGATGAGCCTCAGAGCCGCGTGCCTCCTGTTAAACCTGCCCGCAGCAAATCTGCCACAAGATTTGCGGTCAGTTTTTATGTGAAATTATTTTTGATACTGTTTGTTGCTTTATTAATAGCCCTTTATTTTCTACTGATATAGCCATCCCAAGCCCTGCAATAAGATGATTACACATGTATATAGTTTGTTATAGTTTTGTAGATTGAGAAGAGCCACTAATAACTTATCAATAATAACATTTACAGAGTAAGACTAGTGAAAGTGAGATGAGTGAGGATCAACATGTTACCAAAGTAGATGTGTCAAAACGTAGAGCGATGCCTGTGCCCCGTCGATACACGAAGAATAAATTGTCGCCAAAAACTAAACGTTCACAGTCAGTACATCGATCTGATAATTTTGGACTGGCAGATAAAACTGGAACAGGTATGAGCCAAACAAGCCAAGAGATCCTTGATTTAATGCAAAAAGCTCGAGCCAGAAGTTTATCAATACCTAAAGATGATCCAAGATTATTACCTGCTTATAAAGATTACAATAAAAAAATAGAGACTCCTAACAAAACTCCTTCTACTCTTAAAGGTAGGCAGTCTAGAGGAGTTTCATGCCCTAAAACTATTCAGATTATAAGTGAAAAAGAAATCCTGTCAGGTTTAATGAAAAAGAAAGAGCAATTGGATGAAAGCAGTAAACACAGTTCAGGATATATTGATGCCAGTCAATCTGAATACACTTCCAGTTGTTATTCTTCATCACCTAGTGAAAATGAGTTTAATTTCGATTTATCAGAACGAACAGCAGAATTAACACGTAAGCTAAATGTTCTTAGCCAAGAAGTTGATAATCGCGAAATGATGTCAAGTATAATTTTATCACGAGACGATAAAAACATGTACCACGACCCCAACTCAGTGTTAAGAAAAAGATCAATAGCGGAAACTAAACCGATTATGAAGAAAGAGAATAAGGCAATTCTGGAAACAGCAGAGAAATCTGAGAAAAAACTTAAACGAAAAGCCGTCGATGACCGTAATAAAAAACACGTCAAATCAAAATGGAAATTAATTGCTGATTGGCAACAATTTAAAGAAGAGCAAACACTAAATTGCGAAAAAATTCGAATTCTTAGGAACAAGTGTATAATAAACTTGCTGATTTTAACCATTATGTGTGGTTTAGGTGGAATGATGTTTAAATCACTGGAGGGATCTTTTGAAAACGCTTATAAGTGCAGTACAAGGAACGTAAAAAGAGATTTTATTGAAAACCTTTGGCGTGGAAGCCATAATTTACGGGAAGAAGATTGGAAATCTATGGCAAGAAGAAAGCTATATGAATTTGAAAATCAACTGCATACGGCCCACGAGGCTGGCGTAACATCGTATAGTGGTCAGCGGTCTTGGAATTTTATGAATTCGTTCGTCTACTGCTTGACGTTAGTTACAACTGTCGGTAAGATTCATTTTAATTCAGGTTCTATTTTTATTCTTTTGTGATTGTAAAAACCGATTTGTGATTAAATATTTAGCTTCAGAACACATCAATTCCGCCGCATTTTAATAATTTATGTACAAGTTGTGACGCACTGACAATAAAGACGAAAACATTTTAATCTGAAATTGTTTATTTTCACGTGCCAGCAGTTTATTTACACCACACTTTCTTTGTCTTTTTGTAGGTTTTTGGCAATAAAACTTCTAATATATATTTTGTGACTATTTTATAGGTTATGGTCACATAGCACCGAAAACAACATACGGTCGAGTGGCCACTATAGTATACGCTATAATTGGCATTCCACTGTTTCTTATTCTCTTGGCTGACTTCGGCAAGCTCTTCACAAGGATCATCAAGTTCTTTTGGGCATACATCAGAAGATTTTACTATACGAGGAGCTGCCGTAAAGTTAGAAGAACGGGTCCTGTGCAGGTAAAAATATTCGTAATATGTTTGACATAGTGTAAATATTTCTAATACTAATTACTAATGAAGGGTAATTAACCTGATTAAAAGGTATTATATACTTCTGAAATCTAGTCAGAACTCACTCTTGAGTTGAAACATCATACACTTGCAACTTAACAGTCCCAAGACTCATAAGTGCTTCTACGCCCTTTGAGTGCTTTACAGCGGTCTTCTGTGCAGCTGTGCATGGTCGTTCATGCCTATGGTTCATGGCATGGCTAGGCCGGTCGAACCGGCGCTGGCGTTGCCATGCCGCGGTATGGCTTCATATTCAACTCTTTTGCAATAATTACATTAACTTAATTTATAATAATATATTAAACCAACTGACCCTCGCAAACTCTGCTTCTCTCAAAAGGAATAAATTTTAATTAAATCCTAAAATAAAATTTCAATCCTATTCATCGTAGCATGATTTTATATAGTCTATATTCTTTCTCAATAAAAGGGCTATAAAACACTAAAATAGGGTTTCAAAGCGAACCAGTAGTTCTTGAGATTACCACGAACATACAAACTCACAAATTTTACCTCCATATAATATTAGTATAGATTTTCTTTGAAGACGCTATTAGGTATTTACCTAACGAGGTAATCAAGCGACAAAATACCGTAACCCGACGTAAATCATTCCAGTAATGTGGATCTTACCCGGAATTAGGCGTAATGATGCGGTTTGCCGCATATTCTGTAAACACACACTATACATTACAGGGTTTTAGTCAAATTATGGCTAATAAATCTCGTTATACTCGGTGATTGGCTTACTTAATGCACAAAGCGAGGACAAATATAAATATTGTAAATTTAAGCTTTGAAGTCAGTTTGAAAAAATGAAGAACAGATAGGCCCGCGTGAAGGAATTAAAAAGATATTTCGATATTATATTAACTTCATAGTTGCATTTAAACCCTGATAAAACAAAAAAAAACAATTTAAAATAAGAAGTTACTCAATGAAATTATTTTGGTTTTTGTATGTATTTTGCTATTTATAGCTACATATTATAACAAACACGTCTATTATACTTTCTTAAATAAATTACATAACAACAGTTAAATGAAAATGAAGCAGCTTCTATGCATATTACTTGACTCATTTGCCCCAAATTCGTAAAATATTAATTTTACGAATTTGGGGCAAATGAGTCAATCGGAAGTATGTCATACCATGACACGCTTACTTAATTCAACGTCATTTTCCTTTGCACTTGTTTTATGTTTTATTTTTCTAATATAAGTTTCCTTTTGCTCTGATTCCAAATTGATATTATGAGCTGAGCTAAACGGCTTTGCAACAATAAAACAATTTCCGAACTCTTTTACACATATGTTCCTTTTTAAAAAATTAACACAATTTAAACTCCGTTATAAAACCTATCACACATTATTAAGAAAAATCCCTTTGTTTTTTATAGTTATTGTAAATAAATAATTTATTTTTCCAAACAACAACATACTGTTCTAAAGAAATCTAAACCGAATGCTGATGTCACTTATTTTCTTTGGCTAAATTAATAATTAAGTATAAATTAACTTATGCGTTTATTTTTGAAAATCGTCTTTTCTACAGATTTGGCTAATTATTTGTATAAATTATTAAAATTTTATGCCGTTACATCACATGAGATTTTGTCAAATTTCAGGAGGTAATGAAGGGTTTAAATATAGTCTACGATGTGGTTCGTCGGCCATCGCAGATATTTTCTGAAGATGATATCCAAGGAGACTCCCGCAAAGATGCCGCCCATCCACCACCTGTGATAAGAAAGGCTAGCGATGCCCCACCTCCTCTACCTCCAAGACCTGGTACGCTTACAAGGGATCTTGATAACGAAACTGAACCAGACACCCCAGCACCTTCAGTATTTGAAATTGATGATGAATTTAATCTACCTATATCAGTCGCTGTGTTTATTTTACTCGTATATATTAATATAGGAGCAGTTGTCTATAGTCTTTGGGAAAAATGGAATTTCTTCGAATCCTTTTATTTCATCTTTATTTCCATTACCACGATTGGCCTTGGTGATTATGTGCCTGATCATCCCATGTTTATGATGGCTTCTATTTTATACCTAGTATTTGGATTTGCACTTACTTCTATGTTTATAAATGTTGTACAAGTGAAGCTTTCCAATACTTTTAAGCAAGCTAGTGCTAAGTTAGGAGCTACTATCGGTTTAAAGGTTGCTGAAGAAGATGGCAGCCTAGTCCCAATAACGCCACCGCCAACCGAAATAGTGCCAGTACATAAACCGAAGAGCGAGACTCTACAAACTGGTGATGTTGATGAAAGTAAAAACAAAGAAACAGAAGATAGTGATACCAATACGAATAATAGATAAAAATAGTTTTGTAATCGCTATTTCTAAAAACTTGATAGAATGACATTTTACTAAAAAAAACCTTGTGTGTTCGGTTGACAGCGTTTTAATCAATCAGTCGGATCCAATATTCCATTTAAAGGGATGTGTTATGTATACTGTGATGGTAATAACAAAAATAATTGGTGGTGCTAAATTGTTTTTGCTGTAAGCATATTAAATTTATATATTTTGTAACTAATGATTAAATTGTTAGTCTGTTGACAATGTTTAGTGCCTGTGTGTGTAAATAAAGATTTTTTACAAGTTGCCTTGCTTTTGGCTAAGTATTTTCTATATAGTTAAATATATTGACATTAAAGAAAGGAAAGTTTTGTCTCTTGTCCCATCAGTTTAAAATAAAATATATTACAATAAAGAAACTTATGTGATACCGCAAACCCTTTTAGAGATGCCTGCTTAAATTACAGTCGTACGACTGGAAAAGGCAATTTATCCTATACGAATTTGAGAAAGCACACCTGGACCTCATATTTTAATGGCAGATAGAACTAGCAACAAATGAATTATATTACTGGTGCTGATAGCTTACGAGTATAAGCTATTAGATTAGATAGATTATAATTATTTCAGACATGTAGACATACTACATCTTACTATCTAGATCTAGGTCCAGATAACAAATCTGTATCCCAGGGAACGTATACTCAGGGTCATAAGGGGGTACCACACGATCTCCTTTGAGGCGGCGAGTCTCCTAGCCGGAACTCCACCGTTTGACCTGGAGGCGAGGGCCCTTGCGGTAACGTGTGTTCAAAAGTATGATCGTATGAAATGTTAGGCAGCGTGTACAATAAGAAGAAAAGTAGACACATTTTATTATATTGTTACGAGCCGTTAGTTTGATAAAACAAGGAGGCGGTTAATCACTAAAATGAACACTGTATTTATAAACACACTCTATTACAAACAATAATTTCACTGTATTGTAATTAATTACATTGTAAAAGTGTTGTGTTGTAGTTGCACTAGAAAATCGTTTCCATTTTAATCCGCTGTCTCGTAAAACAATACTCGCTCGTACAGCCAACACGCTCCGCTTTTATAGGGCTATCGAAATAACTAGGTAGAATAGGTGAAATAACTAATAGTGTCTAGGATTCGATAGAACGTTCCAGACAGACTCTCATACTTTATAAGGAATCTACTGAGTCCTATCAGCCATAATCTTCCGATATTCAACTCTATATGTTTCGGAATTATGAATCAATATTTAATATACTGGTCCTATGGCTGTGATGCAACAATTTGTGTAATAGAAGTAGAAATCAAATGAATAGTTGAAAGTCCGGTTTACCATATACCGGATTCGCAGCTAATCTTGCATCAGGATGCTTGAAACTTAGCCAAACACGAACAATTGTATTTAACGATTTAAGCACTTGCCGGATACTTACGGCTCACTATCCGGATTCTGGTCGAAGATTAAATTTAAACCCATCTGACCTGAAACAGGTAAGTGGCAGAATATACCTTTAATTTCTAAATAGAACATATAGTAAGCACATTTTTTGCGTCTGTACATAGTATTATATAGGTATGATACACCTAAACTCGGTTCCAAAAATAACGGGTCAGTCACATAAACCCGAATATCTCCCGAACTACGTATGCCATCCTAATGAAACGAAGACTGTTCAATTGAGAATTTAATTATACAGATAAAAAATAAAATAAAACTTAAATCTAAACTCTCTAACTCTTAACTTATCTCTAAATTAAAAAAAAAACTAAAGTAGTCTTATTTTTCTTAAGATTACATTTTTTTATGATTGTTTTTTTGCTGTTTTTCATCACTTTCTTCATTTAATACTTTGTATTGCCTCCACGAGCTCTTCTGACAGCTTCCAGGCGATTAGGCATGCTGTACACCAATTTCGGAGCCGGTGCTGGAGGAATACCTTCCCATTCCTCCACCAGTGCTTGTTTGAGCTCGGGAAGCGTGATTGGTGGGGGGTTTCGACCTTTCACGCATCTCTGAAGCTCGTCCCAGGCGTGCTCGATGGGGTTTAAGTCCGGGCTTCGCGCTGGCCACTGCATGAGTTCGATACCGACCTCTTCAAGGTAGTCATGTACAATTCTGGCGGTATGGGGACGCGCATTATCATGCATTAATATGCCATGCCGGTCCATCCTGGCCATGAAAGGACCTACATGTTCATTGAGGATCTCTTCCACGTACCTCTCTGCATTTAGAGTTCCATTTTGAATGAGTACAAGCTCGGTGCGGGCCTCAGTAGAAATCCCAGCTCAAACTTGTACGGAGCCTCCACCGTACGCCACTTTTTCCTCCACACACGCTTGATGGAAGCGCTCCCCTGGTCTTCTGTACACCAACTGCCTACCATCATGCTTATAAAGCATGAATTTAGACTCGTCCGTGAACATTACAATAGACCAATCGTCTAGTGTCCAGTTTAGGTGCTCGCGCACGTATCTCTGTCTTGCAATTTGACGTCCCCGTTCCAGTTTGGGGCCACTTGCGGGCCTCAATGGTTTCAAATTTGCTTCAACAAAACGTCTTCTTACTGTTTGAGCGCTTAAATTGCCACCTCCAAAGCGAATAAAGTGAGTTTTTAGACCAACAGCAGTTTGAAAACGATTTCGGAGCATTGTAGCCACCAGTTGTCTGTCTTCCCTGGCCGTTGTGCATCTTGGTCTGCCATTTCCTGGTCTTCTAAGGTGTGATCCGGTCTCTTGGTACCGCTGGACTACCCGCTGAACAGTCGACAAAGATACACCAATGTTTCTGGCTGTTTCACGCTGGCTCCGCCCAAGTTCCAAAAAAGTTAGGATTCTGGTACATTCCTCTAGCGTGACTGCCATGCTTCACCTCACAGAATAATAATTATGCACGTGGAAGACGTTCACGATAATTTTTTTTTGTGACAGAATAGAAATGGAAAGCATCTATAATGAAATGAAACAAAAATTTTGTTTTTAAAAATAGTCATTCTTTTTTAATTTTGTTTTTCTAATGAAGTTTTTTTCATCAACCAGTTTAAATAATATGCTATTAGAAGCGCAACTAAAAAGTCTTTATTCAGTTTTTTATTTCATTGATCTAACTTTTACAGTTCTGGAGGTATTTCAATTTTTGTGACTGACCCGTAATTTTTGGAACCGAGTGTACATAGTACTATTTACTGTACTATACTATTTATATCTTACTATATAGGTAGTAACAGAGAGAACAATGGAGTAAAAGTTTAATAATTGAAAGTATGCCACACGTAGGTACTTACTTAATAGTTCATTATTACAAATAACGTAGACCTCGGTCTTTGTCTGCTTTAAGCCTCTACAGAGACTACAGAAATTTAGTGTGACAAACAAGACCTTATCAGACAATATTTGAGATGTAGTACTATGAGTATTTATGTAGTAATATGAGTTTCATATTCAAATTGTATCAGATAAAAAATGACTAACTTACTTTTCGATTTATTTAGTTATTCGGTGGAGATTAAATGTTTAAACAATATTACACCATTTCTAGCTGCCTCCTCTCAACTTGAATTTATATCCATAAAAAATACAGTTGAAAATTTTCTTTTCCTGAATTTTATTAAAAAGACGTATCTTTTAATTTTTACGGCTAATTTTAGAACTGAGAGTCAAAGCGGACCTTTTGGTGTTAATTCCTTCTTTGTTTTCAAAGGCGTGCTAGGTCGTTGATGAGCGGTATTATTCGTTGATTGATTATGCCACTATATTGAATATTAAAAGCTTTTCCGTCGAATGATCGTGAAACGCAGAGTAACACGGTTTGTCACTTTAAGAATTTGGGTACGGAGTGAAAATTTATACTTAAATATATTATCATTACGGATACAGGTTACCGAGGTGATATCGATCGACGTCACTTGAGGTTTTGGTAAATATTGAATTATTCGAAGTAAAAGTAAACACCATATGCTGATTATTACTATTTATTATACATCTCACGCCCATATCCCTGAAGAAGTACACAGAGGCATGATAGGCACGCACATTTTACCAGCTGTAATATGGCTCCTCTCACGTAATACATTATTGTGATTCGTTGAATATCTTGGGAATTAGGTATAGGTAAATTTAGAGTATGCTGAATTTGTAAGTAAGAAAGCTGTAAGTATGAAAAAAAGAGGGTGTACTTTTACAATTACTGCATATGCAATCATACTCGTGACTAGTATATTTACCTACAACTTAACATTGGCTGTTGCCGGACAATCTAAGCCCCCTGTATAATAGTAATTACTGCATATATGTTATACACGGCAGTCTTTACCAGTTCTTGCCATCCGTTCGCGAACGGTGGCTCACTGTGTTGCTTAATTTTTTACAGGTCATGGTAACTTTAAGAGCAAACTGTATTCATTTAAATAAGTCGAGTCACCATTGCGTTAATGCTCAACATCTAACTAACTGTAAACAGTCTGCTCATCATATCCTCTGGGAATGTAGTCTTTGGTATAATTAACACAATATAATGCTGAATAGTTTACAGGTGACATCTGAGGCGGTATACTATCGGGATCTTGTGTCAACTAGGGTGAATTTCCATGAGTTTAGGCGATTTTACCATACATATTATAGAAATCAAACATAGCTCACTTAGGACCCATAATATTTTGTAGCCGTGCTGCTTCCCTGTTGAAAAGGGTGAATGCGTAAGAAGGGGAGCGGATTTATATTTCCAACTCCTCAAATTATCTTCTGATTAATTTCATTGCGAGTTCCAAAACAGTTAATTTTTTTCCTGGGACAATCCGAGTGTCATACCTAGGGGTGTGTTCGTGGGTCACTGCTGTTGATCCTGGTGTACAGGAGTTACAGTGATGGACGTGTGTTCAGTTCATCACACAAATATTTGACCTGGGCATCAATAGAAGAACTCTAGCTCAGCAGTCCCGATAAATAACCACTAAAACAATAACCCAGTTCTATCAAAATAAGTATCATATTTTACACGTCTAGAAGTGATATGATTAACTTTAAAAAAAAGAAATAAGAATTTACAACTGCCACTATGTAGGTAACGTATTAGCAGCTCTTATGATATATAAATCAAATAAATTAAAATAATAATTGAGAAGAAGAATAAACAAGGGCAGAAAATATCGCGAATTTTATACGAATTTATTAAATATCAACACTCGTATATATTTAAAAAAAATAGGTTTATTCTTTTAAAGAGAGCATTACATACTAAATAAAAGAACACACCAAAACTGGATTTCAGGTTCTAATTGGAAGAAATTCTGTTTAAATACCGTTACGAACAGTAGCCTTAACATTTCGAAATCCATACTAATCCATATCAAAGAATCACAGCTAAACAAAATAAGAACTTGCCAAAAAGTAACTGACGGAAGATGATCAAAAACAACTACAAATTGGTACCCACGACATCAGAAAATAATGGTAGACCACTTAAAAGATGGAGTGAACATCGCATAAACTGTGGCAACTTATGACCCAGACTGGCACAACAACACCCAGTTTGGAAGAGGCTTATACCGCAAAAGGCGGCCCTTACACTTAACGTTACTAACTTATAATTTAAGCAAACAAACTAACAAATATATAAGTAAATAAAATATGTAAGCAAATTAAAATATTATACACAAACTTTTTTTATAGTAAGGGATCAACTAAGCTTTATAAGTTGTAAATATAAATAAATAAAAAAGAATCCGTATCCATACTATTATAATATCCATACCAATATTATAAATGCGAAAGTGTGTCTATCTGTCTGTCTATTACCTCTTTACGATTAAACAGCTGAACCGATTTAGATAAAATTTTGTTTAGAGGTAGTTTGAGTCCCGGAGAGAAATCACCCTTTAAGGGGGTAAAAAGGGGGTGGAAGTTTGTATGGGAAATCAATAACCGCTAAACCGATTTAGATGAAACTTGTTATGGAGATAGTTGGATTCTTCAAAAAGGACACAGCCTTCACACACTGGACGCACGGACGAAATCGCGGGCAAAAGCTAGTTGACAATCAATCTTTTTCCTTTAATTTCACTTTTTTTTCTTTAAAAAGAGAACTCCCCTACTAGGAATATATCCTGTCGCGGGGAACATTACAAACATTAATGAAACGGACACTAATAACACCCAGACTCAGAACAACAATTTGTGGATCACACAAAGTGTCGTCCCATGTGGGGATCGGACCTACAACACTTAGTGCAGTAGTAAGCGGCTTGGTGGTCACCACCACCACCGCTCAAACCACTACGCCATCCGTGCAGTCAATCAATTGTAGAATTTGCCGTTTTACAAAATGCATGGGTAGGCTAATTCTACAATTTGCCTTCGACGTTTATACTAGGTGAAAAAAAAACTCTCATATGAATACATTTAATTGAAAACTACATGTATTGACCTGATTTTCGTATTTACAGGCAAAATTCTGTAATGATTAAGTGAATATCAGGAAATTCCAACCTAATCTAATGCAAATGATGCATCAACAATACAGGGAAGCTGGCGCTTAGCGGCCGGCTCCCCTTTTTTTTTCCGTGCGGAAATCCCCTCGGATACCACCTGTCGGTGGCATGTCGGACTCGAACCGACTAAAACCGCACGCCGTCTCGAGTACTAATAGCCGGGGAACCAGGTATACCCTAGAAAGGAAGTCCCTGGTGCAGCGGCCGGCTCCCCTGTAACACATTTTAATGGTCACTGTTCTAACCACAGAGTACAGTAATATTATAAGAGAGTTCTAACCTAACTTCAAATAACAAAATAGACATTCCTAAATTAAATATAATAGATTTTGAATATTAGAGTGACAATTAAATAGTAATACGAGTATGTACATATATGTGAAAAATACTAATTGTCTTTTTAAAATAAATGAACAGTAAAGAGAATTAACGCAATTAAATTAAGTTAATACAAATAGGTATACATCTGGGAAATAGATAATAACAAGGTTATCGGACAACTTCGGACAAATCGGTTGTGGGTTAGGGATACTAAAATAAACAAGCTGTTTAGCCGATCGTCTAGGTGATTGTTTGAGAACAAATATTCCTAACTGACCACTAGGTGGACGGATTGAGCGGTCCGCTGGGATCAAAGTTTAGCAACGGCAGCAAAACAGGTACGCAGGGGAAAGTATCTACATATTAAGTAAGTTGTTTATAATTTTTCCTGCAATTTAAAACAACTACTAGACTATCACTAAGTTTCAAGTGCCGATATCAGACTTATCAAACCTAGAGTGGCGGTTTTAGTACAGCGTGAAAGTACTCTTCCTTTTGGTATATACTGAACACATTTCTGACAAGTATACCAAGTAAGAGCAGATAAAACTCTGTTCCTCTGTTCTGGAGATTAATAATAATTAAAAAGATATCAGAATAAGAAGTATCAATGTCAGGCTCTCTTGATTCTGATTTGTTATTTAATTGCATGAGTTGACGGTATGGTAAGTTTAAAGAGGTATAGCAATCTAGAGTTATATAGAGGTTATAAACTAAACCTTGTATAAATATATCGTGCAGTAATAAGACGCCATGGGTGACACCTCTTTTTAGTGGTAATTTATCAAGACATTGTCAGTGGTCATACAGGATTGTTTCGCTTAAGAGGTGCCATTATGAAAATACATATAATCTCTTGAGAATATTAATTAGAAATTCAAGTTGAATATTATTATTATTCAGTTTCATGCTTCTCGATCCAAAGCATAGTGACTACAAGAATATTTCAGTACTTTCCTTAAAAAAAATTTTGACTAAAAGAAACAAAATAATCAGAAATAATTTTATTATCACTGATAAAATCCTATTTAAATGTTTCTTGTCTCGAAATATTTATTTCTATAAGCATTCTCAGAAAAGTCTACCATATAAAACTTGTTAAATAGATAAGAATTCATCTAAATGAAAAATTGTATGACCTTCTTTTCCAAACATTTACTTTCAAATACTGTTTTAAGTTATGAAATGTCTTCTTGATTTTTGTTTTTACTGAATATGTTTTATAGCCAATATATTCTTCAATTACAAATTTGTCGTAATATTTCATTAATATCAGAGAAGTTTCTTTTTCCCAGCGTAGTATTTCTTTAAGTATTTTTTTGCACCAATTTAAAGCTGATTCTGAATGTTGTACGTTCAAATTTCGGATATGGGAATAGTATTCCACCAATGAAACGATTGCTACATCATTCTTGAAAGTGGCATCTATGTCAGTCACGAGAATTTTATACCGTTTCAACGAAGCCACCAGAGTGTTACTTTTATTATTATAAGTGGCTATTGCTGTACCAATATTCTTATGCATGATGAAATTATCGTTACAGTTGAGTTCACCTGTTAGTTTCTTTACTATATATCTCTCCAAAAATACATGTGGCTCTAGTAAAGTATCACTTATAGTTACGCCATCTCTATATTTTTGTATTAGAAGTAGATTCATTACCAAACTTGACAGTGAAGATGGAAGTAGTTCACATAGAGGATCTAAATGACTATACCTTGACCAGCCAGTAAGAATCACACCTTTAAAATTGAACACTTTTTTCTCACCAGCAAACATATAGTTCAGAATAAGATTCAACCAAGCGTAATGGTTCTGGAAACGCTTGTTTAGCTCAGGTAAAAAAGCTTGTTTGCCGTCGGCTCCTTTAAATGCTGAAGCAATCCAAATGTTCCTGAAAGTCCCATGGTAACGGAATAAATTCATATGTGATACCCGCCCCAAGTTTGGACTATAATCCCAGTATACAGGTTCCATTTCTTGTAAATTTGCCATGGTCTCTTCGTTCCATTGATTTCTATTAATTTTGCGAAACATATCATCCCACATTAGTATTGATATTAGTGGATTGAAATTATAAACTAATGTTTTTACCGTATTCATGTGATCAAGAAATAGGTTTCTGAAAAAAAAGGAAAAACAGTATCATAATTAATTGCTCTATTAATTGTGTTTATTAATTCTGTTTCATTTAACATGGATAGGAGAAGCAAAATGTTAATATAATGTTATTTACAAGGATTTAATGAATAAATACAGAATGTTGAGGATAATATCGGTCGCATTTGACAAGGATATTGATGTATACAAATTTATATAAAAATGCAATAACGGAAGACTATTGTTTTCGTTACTGCATTTTTACATGTAGCTTTCTCATGGGGTATGCTGTTAGGTAACAGAGTAAATAGATATATATGTTCATGCATACGAATATTTTCACTTTATGGGAATCTAATCAGAATCATCTATCATTAGCGTACCTGTTTGCAAGATTCCTGTCGTGGCATTTTTGACATTTGTTAAGTTGATATACCTCGTCGCACCCTATGTGAATGTGTTTCAACGGTGTGATAGTAGTGTGAAAGTCTATAACCTGAAATAGTATATTTGAAATGATTATTTACTAGGTTTTGCCCAAGGCTCTGCCCTCGTGTATGTTGATTATAGCCGTGAAAAGTGCCTTTGTTACTCGCTCATAATGTAGTATTACAATGGTGAAAGAATTAAAAAAAAATGGATTTAGTGGCTTAGGCGTAAAAGCGTAACAAACAAACTCACTTTCATTTTTAAAATATAAGTATGGAAGTATGAATTTTATTAAAATATAATAGCATTTATGTGTTATTACACATAAATGCTATGAAAAATAGTAAATGGAATAAAGTGATGTTTTTACATCATTTTAGGTTATCATCATTGTTTTTCTGTCCTGTTTCCAAATGGCAGAAAGGCAAAGGGCTTCTGGCTTTTTTCCTTTTGTCTGCACTGGTCATTGTAAATAGCAGTCTTTTAAAATCTTTTATTATTTTAAAGGCTTCACATATTACAGAGGGGAATATCGGAATTGGAACGACTAAAACTTTATATTCCGTCACAAGTAAATCTTTAGTAAAGCACCCGAAAGTACGAAGTCACTAGAGCCCTCATAGACGGCAGAGTGTCCCCTACACTCAATGACGTGGTATTCTGATGTCTTGTCTTACCCTCCACAGGTTAACAGAGACCTGTAGAACTCCTCTCGCTGCTTCATTTTGTAACTTACCTGATGTAACATTTCTTTTATTAGATTTATGCTTTCATTATTGCTTGGGCATATAGAGTCGGGGTGCTCTTTTGATTCTCTCAAATGCTGAAATTCTTTTAGTTTTAGCGCATGTTCCATATGGCCAAACGTTTGTATCAAAGGTATTATCTCTATATCCAGTGTGTGTGCTCGTGTGAGGAAATATTGGAGCTGTAGAAAAAAAAACTAAAGTGAAAAAAACTAGCTTAGTTATAACTTGGTTATAAAATGTATAAAAACCACTTAATCAGAATGTTTATGAGTATGAATTGGTGTGAATATAGAATATTATAACAATATTTGAGACGAATTGGTATCCTAACTTTTTAAATTAAAATATCGTAAACCTCCTTTCTAAGGAGAGGCCTATGTCCAGCAGTGAACTGTTACAGGCATTTAATGGTGATGATGATGATAATGATGAAATTTGCTTATTCTTTTAAATGATGTAGCCTTAAAGGCATTGAAATCGGGTATGATAGAATAAGTATAACAGTAATAATACTCAGAAGATATATTATATTTTAACGTGACATAGAAAATTCAAGGAAGTATACATGCATAAGCTGTTGGTTTTCCTTCAAATAAATAAATAATACTTATTTTTTCGTTTTCAATATCTAGTAATAAGTTTAACATGACACAGAAAATAAAGAATTCTTTAATGATAGGTTTATTATTCCTTTATATTTTCTACATATTTGTTATATTATCACTGTTTATTTGCATTGACAATGCAAAATAAGGATTTATTCCCACATAAGCATGGTTTTATCATATCTTTATGTTCAAACGATTTTTACTATAACCGATATAATACAATATATAAATAGCAAGATTCATAAACTTACCTTGGCGTTATCATAGGGTATTGTAGAAGTCAAATTAGCTAGTGGACCGTGGTAAGGAAACGAGTCCTCATATTCCATCAATATACCGTTAACACCTAATTTTTTGAACAACGGCAGAAGACTTATCAAGTAACTTAACTTTGGGGGAGAACCCTTCAAATCTAAATGAACTACCACATGTTTTAAGTTAACACTGGACACTTTGTTCAAACTGATGTAATTGTTGAAAAATGAATAGGAAAGTAACAAGTATGCTACTAACGAACCGAGAAAAAAACAAACAAATTTTAACCTTATTATCCTCATTGTAAACACCTATTTTAATATGAAACTTACTAATTTACAAATGGTATTTAACACTACATCTTACTGACACAGTATTCCTGTCTAAAATGACACTTAGGGGTGGTGAATACTCTTTGCTGTAAACTTTTTATTAGCCAAGATGTTGCTTATGTGAAATGTGTATGCTAATAGCCGTTGAAGGAAAAACTTCATCAGTTAGTAACACTTTTAAGGATTCTGTCTGCGTACACGTAACTCGATAAAAGTACTCGATAAAACTGATATTTTTATTATGTATAAAATACATAATAAAAATATCAGTTTGTGTTTGTCTTGTTAACCTATCAGTATAACTATATCAAAAGTACCTTTTCTATTTTATTTTTATTTTGATCGACCGTAGTAGTAGTAGTACGAGTAGTAGTAATAGTTGTAGTTGTGTGTAAACGTGTTTCTTACTTGACTTAAAATTGTCTTGTTATTTTCGTAACTTTTATTTCCGTCTGTGTACATAGTAAATATATTCAATACTTGAAACAATTTCAGAAATAGTTATTGAAAAGGCACAAAACAATAGTACTAATATATATATTTCATATTCTTTCAAAACTATCTTCCTTTATGTTCCTAAAAACTAAAAAGTACACTAGTATCTGTACTTTTTAGTTATTATTATATAAATTTTACGACTAGGTTACATGCGTTGTTATAATATACATGTGAGTTTGCTTGTTTGACGTTGTTTTTTTTTTAGGTGTAACATATTTATTTCATTAGAACATTTACCCTCATTATCTTTACATTGCTGCAATCTAAACGAAAGTTTATTTATGCCTTTACGATAGAAATCTGGGGATCTAGATTCGTCAAACTGTGTGAATGCATTTTGTACTGCCTCCTCGGAAGAATTTTTTTTATCACATAGAAAATTGCCCAAATCACGAAAAAATTGTAGTCCGTTAGAATAAAGTCTGGCGAGTGCAGCTCCTGTACAGTAACAACGGTTTCTAGTGTAGTGTGAGGTCTGGCGTTATCATGGAGCAATAATGGTGAAGATCGATTCACGAGCCGGGGCTGTTTCACTGCCAGTTTGGCCATCATTGTTCAAAGTTCGCCATAGAAAATATCTGCTGTTATTGCCTGACCAGACCTGCAAAAGCTTCAGGGAATAACAAAATGAAGACACCACCAAACAGTTCAATAAGCTCACATTTTTGAACATGAGTGTTATAACTTAAAAAGTAAAATATGTGAAAGCGGTTACATCATGCTATACGATATCATCGCGCCTTACCCCTTCCTTTTTTGGTAGAAGAACTGCGTTGTGACGTGTGAGACTTGGGTTGTTTGTATGCTACTAGTTTTTAAGCCCGGTTTGACTAGACTTTATTTTCCTTATTAATTTTTTTCTTGATCATTTTGTGCTATTCCAGACTATATCAATTTTTGTGCCAAATTTCGTACATTCTACCGTGATTGAGTAACAAACACCCAAACATTCATTCTCACAAACGTTTGATGAAATGTTTTATAGGATTTGAACTCTTTTCGCGAAAATATTTCCTTTAATATACCTACATTTAAGAAAACATTATTAGTCAACGACACTGCACGTACTTGTATACACCCATCGAACGATTTTTAGGTTAGTGTATGTAATAAAAAAATATGAACGAGAAACTGCATGCATGACTTAACGGGTCCACTACTGTGCCCCCTGATTTTTCTAAGATAACCACAACAGCTCAAGCTAACTCACATTCACATTTAGAATATTTAATCTTAATACAGTTAAATAATAACATTGTTTTGACGTCTCGGACAAAGCGACGACCATTGCTTACAACTTGGTGACCACGATACGAAACTTTGTATCGTATCAAGGTAGTTTCAATTGTTAGAAACTATTTTAGTTGTAATAACTTGAAAATTATATTTTGAATTATATAACAATAGACGTTTGGAACCGACTAAGGATTATTTTGCTTGAGATGGATCACTGAGTCACTCAATTTCTTATATATGGATATCGTTAGCAACTTCACTCGTGTCAATAAATGCAAGAAACCTGCCAAATGCAGATATTGTAGAACAACAAACATTCACGATATCTGTATCATTTACACCTGAAATGTACTTGGGCTAGTAGCCAAGATATGCTAAAGGAAAATTGTCATTTTCTCACGATTATGAACGTGAACTTTGTTTTTTTAGTAGTATTTTATATCCTAATGTCTTCAGTAATGCGTATAGACTAAAATAATAGTACTTGTAAAAATAACTATTTGAAGTACAGATGGACCTGTTGGATTATTAAGCCAGCGGTCGGGTGTCGATTCCCACCCAGGACAAATATTGTATGATGAGCAAGATCAATTGTTATATGTCCTAGAGTAATTTATGTATAATATTTATGGATTTAGTATATTTAGAAATGTATATTGCCCGGCAATAGACTTTCTTTTCTGTAAGTGATAATTTTCGGCACCAGTATAGCTAGAACAAACGATAATAATATGTTTATAGTTAAGTATAAGTTGACTTCTTCGATTTTGTTCATTCGATTCCCACCCATGACAGATAATTGTGTGGTAAGTGGTGATCATTTGTGCTGTGTCCGAGTGGAATTTATTTATAATATGTATGTGTTTAATAATATATAAGTATGCTTAGCAGCAGTCTGGTTATCATAGTATAGGCTCTGCCTAGTTCGGAACCAGACGGCTGTGTGTGAAATGTGTGAAGTTATTATTAATAGGCGACGTGGTATTCAATATAATTATGTGGTGAACTTCATGTAATATCAAGGACCATTTCAAGAGAAAAAGCAACTAAGCGGGTAACAAGTACGAGGCTAATGTAATTAAAAGCGATTACTGCTGTATATGATCTCTTACAATTGTGTTAAATGATAACTGATATTTATTTCTGTAAGTAAATCTTTACTTTACAGCTAGATGGAGCTGGCATTCCTAAGACTCACTCTGGGAAGAAACAGCGAAACGAACCACAGAGGTGTCTTTTTTTAGTCCGTAAAAAAAGTTAAAGAAAACTGTTCCTGTACTGTGTAAGGTCTGGGTAGGCCCTTTGAAGAAAGAACCATAGTTTTGAATCGGCCTGTCCATACAGACGCATACAGACCTCAGCCATCGTGTAGCTTAACCGATACTAGTCAAGATCAACGACCAGAAGCGCGATAGTACCGCCATTTGAAATTAAAATGTGTTGTTGCTGTGTACTGCCTTGTAACGTAGAATTTAGGATAAACCCCTCTAGATATCCAATCAGATATATAGATAATCCGAGAGCATTTTTACATCAGAACAGTTTATTCACTGTTTTGTGATCTTGACCCCTTTCAGAATGTACAAGTTGGTTACTCGTTCAGCGAGAGTAGAGGTAGCATACAAAAGGTGTATTACACCTGCTGTAGCAATCACGTACGTGTCAAGCCTCTGTTTAAAATGGAACAACTCACCGGTAATATAGAAAACCATGAAAGATGTAGCTTAAAATAATTAAAAAGACAGCATAACATTTTATAGCCTGTCTTATAAGCGTGGTTAAACGCTTCTAAGTTCGTATTTGTAAAAGTTCTGACGTCAACTAAGTTTCTTTAAGATTACCCTTTTATTACTTCGGCACAGTCTTATGGCACGATGTAAGTAATTTACATTTTTATCTAGATTAAATGAACCCAAGTCCATTTGAGAAGTGTAAAAGTTCATTTAAGATTAAAATGGTTAATACGATCTCAATGATTACATTACGCTCTTATATAAATAAAATAGACAACTTGGATAAACGCAAAATCGAAATGTCTTTTAACCAATAGTTAATTGACAGAAGTATAATGGACAAATGGTAATAAAGGAGTACACAGCAAAGAACAATGACTTATGTAATTTAGTGAAACTAAAACAAAACACGCTTGATTGGCGAAACGAAGTACAAAGTCTTAAATATTAATGTCTAGTGTATCTATTCACACATTTTGGCACCACTCTAAGGTAGACTGGGAGAAAATTTGTGTGGCATTAAACTCGATATTATGCAATTGTTATTTATGCAAAAAGAATTCAATAAGTAAAAAAGAGTTCAGTTATCATAATAGTTAAGTTAAATAGTTATTAAATTACAAGGGAAACTAATAGAAACGTATTTTTATTCATTAATTATAAGGGAAAGATACCTACATGCAGATATTCCCTGTAATAATAAGACGATACTAAAATTCCTAAACACGTGAAGTTATAAGGATCGGTTGTGCCAACAGTGGAAATACAAATAAAAGAGTTTCTCGGGACCGTATTTGTTCATAAATGATCACTTGAACAAGACTATATAACTCATCAATAATAAAAAAAGAGTACACAAATATAAATATATATGTAATATAAAGGTAGTTTTAGAAACTATATAATATGTGACTAGCTGGCTATATACGAGTATAGGCGGGGGGAGAGTGGCGTTGGCCATCAGTCTTGACATAGTCAACGCCTTTATCTTAATCTCGTAGTGGACGGTTAGGGAGGTTATGTCTCATGGGTTGCCTCCCTGCCTGATGGACATCATCGGGGTTTTTCGGGCTCGGGACAGCGAAGATTACGAAAGAGAGGTCACATGCGGGGTTTCCTAGGGGTCAGTTTTAGAACCTCTTCTGTGGAATGATGCATTCCTGCCTTCCCCCCCCTGCTATGCCGACGATACTCTGGTACTATCTGGGGGTATGGTTTCCAAGAGGCCCTGGAGGGGGAGCTCTGGAGGGGTAGCTTGTGTCATCCAAAAGATCA